ACTAACTTAAAATTTCGACATGTGCAATATCAATACTGACCCATATAGGCCGATATTTAACACTCATTATTAACCCGAAACAAAGAATTTATAAACATTCCGTAAGATTACGTGTAGAAAATAAACATTAAGGACTAGACAAACTAATGATGGCCATATGTGGGCCGGAATAACTGTAACCACACACCAAACGTATTGTGAATAGTAGCAGTGATGGGGCTCCAATGCAGAGTGCTCTGTGGATCTGAAACAGATATAATACCTATAATACTGCATCCGATTGCTATGATATGAATATAATATATACACATATAAACCCACCTAATTGCTTCTGGAGAGCAAAACTTTAGCGTCGTGCCCGAAAGATCAATGGCCTTTATGTCACTTAAGTTAGAAAGTAGATAACCTCCCTATGGTTCGAACAATAAGAACTGGCAATTAACCTGAATAACACAATTGAGTCCCCTACAAAGAGAAACATGCGAAACGTCAGAATATACTGATAAGGCGTGAACAAAATAATTAACCCCTTAAGGACGCTGATTTTTCCGTCATTGCAGTACTCCCCTTAAGGACGCAGGATGGAAAATTTCTGTCCAATACTAAAATTAACCCCAGATTGTCATAATCGCAGCAATCGTGGGGTTAATGTTCCTGTAGTGTGTCTCCATATTAGAGGCACACTATAGCAAGCAGTTTCACTTTCACAGCCCATGTGATTGTTCTGACCGGGAGTCAGAGCGATCACACGTGCTGCAGTGAAACCCTATCTGTCACCCTGCAGCTCCGTGTGAGCTGTGAAGTGCAGAGAGACAGATTGGTGCTGATCTGTCTCTCGCTGTAAAAAAAAAAAAAAAACGTTAGTTATAAAATCCCATACCCTCTTACCCCCTTTCAAATAAAATGTAACCCCTTCCTTGCTCCTTGATCACTGTCTGCAGTGATCAAAATACAGATAACAGTATTTCAATGTGATCTGATTTTTTTCTTTTAACTTTTTTTTTTGAATCCTCAGGGGTTAAATTTATTTAGTTAGTTACTTAAATATTTAAAAATATTTATTTATTTAGCTAGGGTGGGTAGAAGTTAGTGGGGAAATTGGGGCATTTACTGTTAGGCTAGTTGGGGGTTAACAGTAAAAAAAAAGTTTTAAAAAGTAAAAAAGGTTTTTAAAAGTTTAAACACAGTTTTAAAATAGTAAAAAAAAGCTAAAAAAGGTTTTGTGCCCCTTCAACGTTGTCATATACCTGGTAAAGGTACATACGGGGTATTGCTGTACTCAGATGACACAGCTGAGCAACATATGATGTATTATTCTGCTGTAGCACACATAAGGTTTGCAAAATTTATATTACAAACTAATTGTGTGTGTCAAAAATGCATAAAAAATGCTTATTATCACTACACTTGGTACAAGTTAACGGAAAAATGATTTCACGCTAAGGTTCAAAATATGCCTTTTGAAATACCCTCTGGTTTCTTCTTTAAGAAATGGTATGCCTTTGTAGGGTAGTTGGAATAATCAACCTACTAAAAAAACTCCAAAGTGGGGTATGGACACAACGTAAAAATTTAAAGTTTGAAAAAACTTAAATGGCTGTGTCTCAAATGTGCCTCTTCAATGTCCACATATACCTGACAAAGGTACATATGGGGGTATTGCTGTGCTCAGACGACATAGCTGAGCAAGACAGGAAGTATTATATAGCCGTAGCACACATAAGGTTTGCAAAATATACAGTACAACCTCACTATGTGTGTCAAAAAGGCAGAAAATGCTTATTACCACTACACTTAGTACAAGCTAGCAGAAAAATGATTTCAGGCTAAGGTTCAAAATATGCATTTTAAATTACCCTGGGAATCTTCTTTAAGAAATGGTATGCCTTTTTGGGGTTGTTGGAATATGAAGCCTTCTAAAAAAACTCCAAAGTGGGGTAAAAATTTAAAAGTTTGAAAAAAACTACAATGGCTGTGTCTGAAATGTGCCCCTTCAACGTCCACAAATACCTGGCAAAGGTACATACGGGCGTATTGCTGTACTCAGACAATATAGCTGCACACGTAAGGTTTGCAAAACATACAGTACAAACTCACTTTGTGTGTCAAAAAGGCAGAACAAAATGCTTATTGCCACCACTAATGATCCCACGCTAAGGTTCAAAATTTGCCTTTTGAAATACCCTCGGTGTCTTCTTTAAGAAATAGTATGCCTTTCTGGGGTAGTTGGAAAAAGCAGCCTGCTAACATATTTAAAAATAGAATACGGACCTATTAAAACCCTCCATGTAAATTCACACTTAAAAACCTGAACTTGTCACGTCTCTTTTACAGCACTGTAACTTCACAAAATAGTGTCTAGGTCATACATTGGGCTTATTGTTTTATTCTGAAGAGGTAACTGAGCATACTTAGGGGGAATTTATGACAGTGGCACAAATGTACAAAATACTCAGCGAAAATGCAACATGTATGTAAAAAAAAAAAAATTCTAACCACAAAATTTTTAATAAATAGGTGAAAAAATGGTGGCAGTTCAGGCAGTCCCCCTACTGGCAGCACTGTGGACACCTATTGCGGCCATGTGACCGCTCTTTTAGAGTGGTCACATGGTCCCTGGGGGTCCTAAATTGCATAGAGTGGACTGTCTGGGCTCAGAAGAAGACTGATCACCGTCAGGGTAAAAGCAACGATCGGTAAGTACATGGGTAGGGAGAGGGAGGGAGGGTAGGGGTACCCGCCACCACCAGATGAACCCCTTGGATGGCAGCCCCGGCAGTCCAAGGGGTCCTTCGTGTGGCCCATGCTGTTAGGGCCACCCAATGGGTATGGATTGTCAGGGGACCCTTTAACAGCGCGACCGGGCCCCCTGTGATGACATCACACACTGGGAGGAAGTGACTGCCCGTCACTCCTCCCAGCATACACAGAGCCCGCGCAGGAGGAAGCAGAGGAGGGGGTCATAGTGGGAACTCTGACTCCCATCAACCTGAGCCACCACTGGAACCCAGGGAAAGTCACCCTCCTGCACCTGAAAGGTAGGAAACAGGAGGGTGACCCTAAACATTTTGTGTGTGTGTGTGTGTGTGTGTTTGTTTATATGTGTCTTTGTATGTGTGTCTGTCTGTATGTGTCTGTGTGTATGTGTGTCTGTCTGTATGTATGTGTCTGTCTGTATGTATGTGTGTATGTGTCTGTCTGTGTGTGTGTCTGTCTGTATGTGTGCCTCTCTGTCTGTATGTATGTCTTTGTATGTGTGTGTGTTGGTCTGTATGTGTGTGTGTCGGTCTGTCTGCATTTATGTATGTGTGCCATGGATCAGTTTTGCACCGGGGCCCCATGGATTGTGTGTATGCCACTGTTTGTATATATAGACTTATTTGAGTGCTTGTGAGGTTTGCACCTAGCTGTTTTATTACATGTTTTTGTCTCTCCATGTGTTATTGTTATTTTATTGTATTATTATAGTACCACACATATTATAAAAAAAAGAGTCTCAATCCCGTCGCTCTACTATTGACCATGTGTACGCTGTTCACATCCACATCGCTTTCTCTCACTTACAACACTTCTCAAGGGCTGCACAATTTCAGTGGAATGCCCACCTCAATGAGTTTGTGTCCTGGTTGCCAGTCCTTTGAGATGTCTCTAAAAACACATTTCTTTAAGGATGTTTTTTTATATTCTTGAGTAAATTCCCTCTCTCTCTTTGTCTCCCATACCTTTGATTTCACTGTTGACTGGAGAAGAAATCAGAACATTCTTAAAAGAGAAAGTTGTACAACACTGTCACCTTGTGGACATATAGATAAATGCAATTATTCACATCAGATGGTAATTTGTTAAAGAAAAATAATGTATAAAACAAAATAAGTGAATATTAAAAATCTATAGGACCTACTCATTTACAATTATAAAAACCTCAAAAATTAGCAGAGAACTTAAAGTAACTGTGCAATATTAAATATATTAATTAACATATATTATCCAACAAACATATATTCCAAAGCAGTTCATTCCAAAGTTACTGTGCAACAGAATGTAAAAGAAAAATCAATAAAGTGCAAGTTTGACAAAATGTATATTTTTAAATCTATCACAAAAAGTGCAAACTAAATGTGAACCTTTGTATCAAGACAATACCTTCGATAAGAGAAAAGGTACATAATATTGAAGTTGTATAAAAAATACAGAGCCAGAGGCAGACCACTGGGGTACATTAGTCATGGTCCAAGGGTCCAAGACCAGCAGGGGCCCTCCGCATCAGAGATCTCTCCAACTGGATAAGCAAAATGTTAAAAAAAAGTGCCTCAATAAAAGAAAATCCCCATTAATAGATTGTGGGACCCCAGTAACCTATCGCACTGCACATTATGCCCATCCTCCCAAGCAAGATGTGTCCTGGCAAAATTATCTGCTCTCTATCTGCCATTTCTTTTTTCTGTCCTGTGCAGCACTCTGTGTGATAGGGAGAGGCAGCGCCCAAAATGACATCACTTCCTACTCTCTCCTCTCACATAAAGACCTCTTTCAGTCCCCGAGCTGAGGGAGCAACAGCCTGACAGAGACAACAGGGAACCTGAAGAGAGGTAGATAGAGACAAGGGGAAGATAGGGAGAGCAATAGAGTACTAGAAAAACAGAGGAGAGGCGAGGAGTAGAATAGATCTAAGAGAACATTTAGGCTGAGAAAATCATGGAAAGGGAATTAGGTAGGGCATGGTAAGTAGGGACAGCAATGGAAAAGAGAAATAGAGATACTTTTAAAGGATATCGAGAGGGAGAAAAAGCTGGTGGTAAGACATGGGTTGAGGGGTGAAAAGACACATATTATTTTGGTTGCTGACAACAGACAGTGTTTTTGTATCTGTCTGTGTATCAAGGTGGCACATAGTGGCACACAGATACACACTCTGACACAGATACACACACCTTGACACACTGTGTGTATGTGTATGTATTTGTGTGAAGGTGTGTGTATCTATGCTTTAAAGTGTGTTTATCTGTGTTTGTATATGCCAGTGTGTGTATCTTTGTGTCAGTGTGTATCTGTGTGTGTGTGTGTGTGTGTGTGTATCTGACACACATGCACATAGTGGAACACAGATACACACTGACACACAGACACACACACCTTGACACACAGATACTGACACTCAGCTACACACAGGCACACACTTTTTGACTCACAAATACGCACACACTCAGATACACACAGTGACATATACACACACACTTGCACCCACAGGTACACACACTGGCACATACACATTCTCAGATACACACATTGACACATACACACAGTGTCATATACACACACTGACACACTCAGATACACACACTGACATACACACACACATAGGCACATACAAACACACTGATATACACTGGCACATACACACACATATACTGACATACACACACTCAGATACACTCAGTGACACATACACAATCCCTGACACAGATACACACACTAACACACAGACACACATACTCTTTGACAGACACACATACACTGACAAACACACATACTCTTTGACAGACACACATACACTCTCACTGACAAACACACATACTCGTTTACAGACACGCATACAAACACATATACACTCTCACTAAAAATCACACATACATTCTCACTGACAAACACATACACACTCACTGACAAGCACACATACACTCTCACTGACAAACACACATATACTCTTTGACAGACACACAAACTCCTTAACAGACACACATACAATTTTTTATTTTTTTTATTTTACTCCACCCAGCCCCCCTACCTTTGGGAGTGCTGGCATAGAGTCTATGTCCCTGTGGTCCAGTGGGGCTGCTGGGCTGAGCGTGCGGTCCCTGGGATCCAGTGGGGCTGCTGGGTGGCTGGTGTGCCACCACTGGGGTCCAGTGGGGCTGCTGAGCGGCTGGCATGCAGTCCTGAGCAGCTGACGTGCGGGCGGCGATGGAGCAGTGATCTCCCTGCTCAGCTCCCTTGCGCGCCTCTTAGTGATGCCGGAGCGACGTCATAGTCCGGCTCCGGCATCACTGCTGTGAGCACGAGGGAGATGAGCAGGGAGATCACTGCTCACTGCTCCCTCGCTGCTCACGGCCATTTTGTTTTAAGAAATTTTGACGGAACCCTAATTGTGTTGGATTCCACGGGACACCAGTTGGGAAACGCTGAGCTTAAGAGAGACCTGAGGCTTTTTAAGAGACCATTCGTAATTTAAGACTGGGTCATCCTCCCCTCTTCCTTATGACGTCCCTAGTTATAGTTTTAAAAGCAAAAAAATATGTCCCAATTTTCACACTGAGAGTCTAAAGAGCCCTTAATGTTTGGTTAAATTTTGCAGTTTTTGTATCTATGGTCGGACAACACCTTTGAGACTAGAGCCTCACCATCTTTGAGGCTAGAGCAGAGAATCTCTAAAAAAGAATGTTCAAGCTCAGGATTATTCCACAATGAGCATGTATTAAATCAAATGACAACAAATAACAAGGGTACACTAAAAGAAATGCTTAGATTTTTTTTTTTCCCTGTTCATAAAAATTCAGACTTACTTACTTACTGATATTCAAGTCCCTTAACCTTGAAGTCCCTAGTCTTTAAATAACTCTCCTATGTTTTCACTGTATTTCATTTGCGTGACAAATATTTAGAAATGGACACAGTGGCTCTGTGATTTTCCTTGGATGGTTAGGACAAGTAGCCTTTTTCATGTTTACAATTTGTGAGGGAATAAAGTCACAGCAGGTCCCATGCCATGGCCTTTTGGAGAGGCTTGAAGACCAGCCTCTTCCCCACAGACTATGGGCCTGGTCCCAAGAGTCCTTAAAAGGGGCTTGTGGTGGTAGCAATTAATATACAATCAATTCATTGTAAGTTTGATAACTCTGCAGCAGCCTCTGCTGACTGAACACAAATGTGTACATTTATAAAATGCTGGTATGCAAATTAGGGCAACCAAATAAGTAGTTAAGTGTATATATTGTTCCTTTTTATTGTGTTTGAAAATGTTATGTGTATTAAATAGTTCATGTATTAATTATAATTGCTCGTTCTCCAATGTTTGGTATATTTGTATTTTAAATGCTTTTCATCACAAGTTTAAGAACTTGTCACCAATGGCTAGTCCTTGTCCAAAAAAAAAAAAAAAAGAATTGTGTGTTAGTTACATTGGGTGCTGCCTGTCCTGGTTGGTTTATTCAGGAATCCCAGTAACAGAGTCTTCATATTTCTTCCTTGAGTAGTTTTTCTTTGGAACATTGTATATCGTCTTTTAAGCCTAATCACTCAAGCATGAGCAGTTTTTCATGCTCACCTTAAAGGATCACTAGAGGGTCAGGAACACAAACATGTATTCCTGACCCTATAGTGTAAACACCACCATCTAGCCCCCCTGGGCCCCTCATGCCTTTATAAATATAGCAAAATCTTACTGTACTCAAGCCAGAAGCTGTAACTCTGCATGCTGTTTGCCTCAACAACAACAAAATAAGCAGTCTGCTGACATCATCAGAAGTGGTAGCCTGATCCAATCACAATGCTTCCCCATAGGATTGGCTGAGACTGACAAAGAGGCAGATCAGGGGCAGAGCCAGCATGATTCAAACACAGCCCTGGCCAATCAGCATCTCCTTACATAGTTACATAGTTACATAGTTACATAGCTGAAAAGAGACTTGCGTCCATCAAGTTCAGCCTTCCTCAGAAATGTTGTTGCTGTTGATCCAAAAGAAGGCAAAAAACCTGGTCTGAAGCACTTCCAATTTTGCCACAAACTAGGAAAAAAATCCTTCTTGACCCCAAAATAGCAGTCAGATGTCTCCTTGGATCAATCAGCTATTACCCACTAATTAGAAATTATATCCCTGTATGTTATGTTTTTGTAAGTATTTATCCAATTTCAGTTTAAACATCTGTATGGACTCTGACAAAACCACCTCTTCAGGCAGAGAATTCCATATCCTTATTGTTCTTACTGTAAAAAAACCTTTTCTTTGCCTTAGATGAAATCTCCTTTCTTCCAGCCTAAATGTGTGACCTCGTGTCCTATGTATAACCCTGTTTATGAATAGATTTCCAGATAAAGGTTTGTACTGGCCCCGAATATATTTGTATAAAGTTATCATATCCCCTCTCAGGCGCCGTTTTTCCAAACGAAACAGATTTAATTTTTGTAACCTTTCTTCATAACTAAAATGCTCCATTCCTTTTATCAATTTTGTAGCTCGTCTCTGGACCCTCTCCAGTGCCATGATATCCTTCTTTAGAACAGGCGCCCAAAATTGCACAGCATATTCAAGGTGTGGTCTTACCAGCGATTTATAAAGAGGCAAAATTATATTTTCATCCTGAGAATTTATGCCCCTATTTATACATGACAAAATCTTACTGGCCTTAGCAACTGCAGATTGACATTGCATATTGCTGCCTAATTTGTTGTCTATAACAATGCCCAAATCCTTCTCGTGTGTGGTTATCCCTAATTCACTACCATTTAGTGTGTAAGTTGCTTGTGCATTCTTAACCCCGAAGTGCATAACTTGCATTTTTCTATGTTAAATTTCATCTGCCATTTTAGTGCCCAGTCCCCCAATCTATCCAAATCTCTCTGCAACAAAGCAATATCCTGCTCACATTTTATTACTTTACAAAGTTTTGTGTCATCTGCAAACACTGATACATGGCTTTCAATGCCTATTTCAAGATCATTTATAAATATGTTAAATAGAAGTGGTCCCAAAACAGAACCTTGAGGGACACCACTTACTACTTTTGTCCAGCCTGAAAATTTACCATTAATTACAACTCGTTGTACTCTATCCTTAAGCCAATGTTCTACCCAAGAACAAGAATATTGATCTAGACCAATTTCTTTTAGTTTGAAGACTAACCTATTGTGAGGAACCGTATCAAATGCCTTGGCAAAGTCCAAGTAGATCACATCCACTGCAACACCTTGATCTATACTTCTACTTACTTCTTCGTAGAATGCAATTAGGTTAGTTTGACATGACCTATGTTTCATAAAACCATGCTGATTATTGCTAATAACAAAGTTCTTCCCAATGAATTCCTGAATATTATCCCTTAATAGTGCTTCAAATATTTTCCCAGTTACTGAAGTTAAGCTCACAGGTCTATAATTTCCAGGCAAGGATTTTGAACCCTTTTTAAATATAGGAACAACATCTGCCTTCCTCCAATCCTCCGGTACAACACCTGAAACAAAAGAATCTTGAAAAAATTAAATACAGAGGTTCACTTATTTCCCCACTTAGCTCCTTAAGTACTCGTGGGTGAATACAGTCAGGCCCTGGAGCTTTATTTACATTAATTTTCTTTAATAGCTGTAGCACCTTGTCTCGAGTTATCCAATCACAAGTTATTTGCAAGTTTTTTGCAGCAAACATTTGCATATCTCTTGCCATAGGATCCTCATTAATATATACTGAAGAAAATAGTTATTTAAAATTTCTGCTTTTTCCTGGTCTTCATTAGCTAATAAACCCAACTCTGTTTCAAGTGTACCTACACTTTCATTTTTTGTTTTTTTAGAATTGATGTACTTGAAAAAAATTTTGGGGTTGGTTTTGCATTCTTTAGCTATCAATTTCTCATTTTCTAGTTTAGCCACTTTAATTGCCTTTTTGCAAGTGTTATTTGCTTCCTTATATCTTAAATAGGATGCCTTTGATTTGTCTGATTTATAGAGATGAATTGAATCAATAAATCTCTATGAGGAAAGTTCAGTGTCTGCATGCAGAGGAAGGAGACACTGAATGTTTGGATGCATTCTATGCAGCCATGACCCAGGGAGGATCTCTAACAGCCATCTGAGGAGTGGCCAGTGAAGTTATCACTAGGCTGTAATGTAAACACTGCATTTTCTCTGAAAAGACAGTGTTTACAGCAAAAAGCCTGAAGGTAATGATTCTACTCACCAGAACAAATTCAATAAGCTGTAGTTGTTCTAGTGACTATAGTGTCCCTTTAAATGTCCACATACATTGCCCCAATCCTTGTTTATTAACAATTTCCTATTTGGTAACTACTAACAAATATGTTAGAAATAGAACAATAGGGTCATAAACTATCTTTATAATGGGACATCCAGCTACCTTATTTTAACAGTTAACACAAAT